GTTCTGACGTTAACGTACACGTCGACCGAGTTCACCCCAGAGGTGTTCGATTGGGTTGAGATCTGGAGATCCCGACGGCCAGGACAAGACGTTGATGTTGGCATTATGAAGGTAGCCTACCGTGACACGAGCTGTGTGCGGTGGAGCGTTGTCCTCTTGAAACAGCTCCCTCTGGCGGTCAATAAATGGAAGGAGGTTTAGGTTGAAGAATTGACTCATGTAGCGATGTGCTGTCAAATTTCCCTGAACCACAACCAAGTCAGATCTCCTGGTGTAGGATCAACCCCCCCCCCCCCCCCCCACCACCCCCAACCCCCTGTTGCAAAACAGAGACGATAACTGGTCTTCTGGTTCGGATTCCAGCCTCGCAAAGATGGTTCCTGACAGCCTAGTCCGATTTCCTCCCCAAACCAGGATGCGTCCTGCAGTCTCTGTAGCTGTGGCATTGCGATGACGTTGGTGGAACAGTCGAATGTAGCGATCCTGTGCCGTGGTGGTAACTCTTGGTCGGACGGTTCTCGGACGGTCAGCAGTGGAATTGAAGTGTGTGTATCGGTCACAAAGGCGGCAAATGTTGCTGTGGTGGACATTGAAGTGGCGTGCAACAGAAGACTGCGATTTCCCTCTTTGGATACATCCTTTGGCGATGTTCCGATCGGCAGCTCTGAGTCTCGGCATTTTCGAACTTGAAAAATGTTGACAATTGAATGACAAATTATTGGCTTATGCTTACCTTTTTATGTCCATAACCACAAGTTACGAATACCATAACTTGCACGAGCATTTTGCTTTACTGTTTTCCCCCGTGACATTTGTGAACAAGTGTGAAAACAATGCCGTTTCAGACATCGAAAATCAGCAATGGCTGCGTTTTGACGCACCGTTTTTCGAATAACAGGCTACCAACATTTTCAAATAACATATATCCAATTTATATACCGGATGTTTTGTGTAGTCAGGTTCATGAACAACATACTACCTGTGCGTGTCTTTTTGTGAAGAGTGTATGGTTCAATAGACCCGTTAAGATCCAGGGTAGAAGAGGTCTTCAGCAACCCATGTTTGTCCTAAGAGGCGACTAACGGAATCATGTGGTCATGCTCGCTGATTTGGTTGATGAATGTCATCGCATCCCAATTGCCTGGATCGATTATCATGATATCAATCACTTGATTGTCTTGTCATGACTCGATTGCGGCGTTAAACAAAAAACAGCAACAAAAAGCATTATTAATATTATGCAGGTTTTTGCAATGGACACCACACATATGTGCCATCCTATATGTATACAAACTGAGAATAGATGCAAATTATTTTCTATTGCGAGTCCTCCAGGACGGAAATAACCATAGCTGTTTGAATATTTATATTATCAAAATTTTAACATGCGTGTTACACAACTGATATTCGGTTCTAGTAAGACGTACACTCGCAATTCATCTAGAATTCTAGAGTCTCATATATAGTTGGCTTAGGGCTTCTGAGCATGCGCAATGATATGACATCAGTAAAGCGAGTGAGTTAAAATTTAATGTCGCATCAAAAATAAAACGAACATCAGTAAAATTCTTGGAAATCGAGTAAAGTTGTTTAACGTACTCAGCAATATTCCAGTTATATGACGGCGGTCTGTAAATAATCGAGTCTGGATCAGACAATCCAGTGATTGATGTCATGAGCATCTATCCACTCCATTGGGATGGATGACATGCATCAACCAAGTCAGCGAGGTGGACCACCCGATCCCGTTAGTCGCCTCTTACGACAAGCATAGTCGCCTTTCAAGGCAAGCGTTGGTTGCTGAAGGTTCGGATCCTGGTTCGCCCCGATTATGTTTCTAGGTTTGTCAGCACCATACCCGTGCTCGTGGGTTTCACCGAAGTGGTAAACGTCTGCGACCTGCATCACTTGGGGCTTTCCTCCCACATAAATCTGACACGCCGCGATATAACTGAAATACTGTTAAAAGCGGCATTAAACCCGACTCACTCACTCACTCATGACATCACACTTACCACGTACACATCCGTGGCATATACTGATCAGCTGTTCCTCTACATACATGTACTAAACTTCACACACAAACACCTTTGCCATCTATTCCTAGCTCAGAATATAATATGTTTATTGCTGGATCAGGTGTAAATACGGACGACAGTCACACATGACGCTGCGGCTGACTAATTAAACCGTAACTTCTTTGAAAGGCATTTAGAAGTGAGAGTACAAAGTAAGGATAAGATATATGGATGAACAACTTCTGTATTACAATTAAGAGCGACGTTTTGGTGTATGTTCTTACGCCATTATCACAGAAATTATGATAACGGTGTTAGAACCTACACCGAAACGTCGGTCCTAATTGTAATAAAGAAGGGGGCACGGGTGGCCCAGTCGTCTAAGGCGCCGCGATTCGCTGTGCAGAGTTGCGGCCCTTGGGCACTCCAGAAACCTATGATTGTGGGTTCGAATCCCGGTTCAACCCAATTATGTTTCTAGGTTTGTCAGCACCATACCCGTGCTCGTGGGTTTCACCGAAGTTGTAAACGCCTGAGACCTGCATCACTTCGGGTTTTCCTCCCACATTAAGCTGTAGGCCATGATATAACTGGAATGCTGTTAAAAGCGGCGTTAAACTCAACTCACTCACTCACTGTAATAAAGAAGTTGTTCATCCATATGTCATATCCTTTCTGAATAAATTCGTGTTTATTCACCCAGGTAAGCAACCTGTACTATACTTTACTGTGCGCAATTACATGAACCTTTGGCAATACCTACAAGTTTATGCACTATTTTAACTTTGTGCATATTTTAAATATCCTCGTGTAATACTGCTGTGAATAGATAATATCGATCCTATATCATGTTCTATACATTGAAGTAAGTGAGTGAGTATGGTTTTACGCCGCTATAAGCAATATCACGGCGGGTAACACGAGAAATGGGCTTCACACATTGTACCAATGTCGGGATTGGAACCCGGGTCTTCGGTGTGACGAACGTACGCTTTAACCACTAGGCTACATTGAAATATGTATTGTGACTAACAAAGTATGTATCTTGTGTGAATACCCACTCCATTTGGACCGCCTCCGTGGTCTAGAGGTAGAGCGTCCGCCCGGAGAGCGGAAGGTCCGGGTTCGATCCCCGGCCGCGTCATACCAAAAGACGTTAAAAGATGGTACTTGTTGTTACCCTGTCTGGCGATCGGCATTAAGGGGCTAAAACAAGGACTAGTCGGCTCGGAGTCAGTATACTGTGTCTGAGTGAGGTATTCATGTTCTATCAGTTTATTCATATAAACTGTAAGGCCACAGGCCCATAGTACAGAATACATGACAATGTGGAAGCGGTTAGGAATGTTACAAGGATTCATTTCTTAATACCATGGCATGATATATAAGGAGAGAGAGATTTTGTATAGCCGTTTTGCTCACATGTGAAATTAAAGAGATAAACTTGTATTTATTTGGATGTACATAGTATTTCTGTTCAATATATTTTTTCCTTAAATTATCATATTTACAACATACAAGTAGAAAATGAAATTCACCTTCGACAACATTTAAAGAACATTGTTTACATAATCTTAAACATTTGGGTATTTTGTTGTGCCTGCCAACTTCAACCATAAACCTGTGTGAGCTGCAACTAAATTGTGTTAATGATATTCGGCATTTTCTTATATTTACATCAGTTAAATATTTTTCTGCGCATATTTGCATTTTAAAATATCTATAATATTCGCATTTGCTAGAAACATCTACAGTAGATCTCCATGTTTGAAAGTACATGTCAAAAAGCGCCTGCGTTATTTTCGATATGAACATGGCATGATTCTCTAAGAAACATTGGTTTTCCCAGATGTAACCATACCCACATTTATACAGTAGAACTATTCATGTTATTCGTGCTATTTATTCATGTTAAACTGCGGCATGGTATCTCAGTGAGCTAGCACTATAAATCGACATCAGTCCGGACTAGTACAAGCAGCCACACACACACGTCGCTATATAAGTGCAATACTCTTGGACGCAACGTTAAACCCCATTTCACCTCACCTCACCCACTCGGTTTGAGTGTGTCGGGTGTATCATGTGAGTACGATGTGTTTGTTTGTTGCTTAACGCCGCCCTGTGATGGATAATTGGCCACGTGATTACACTATGTACTCATTAAGCAATAATCACCCCACCTTGGTATACCTATCCTGTTTAATTGGCTTCGTGACTTATTGGCTTCCCCATCATGTGTTCTTTGTCCATCGTGTTGTTACAGTATAATTACAGTTGTCATACTTAACCTACTCTTGTTAATCTTTCTCTTGTATGCAATTATTGTTTTGTTTGTTGTTTAACGCCACACTCAGCGATATTCCAGAGATTATGACGGCGGTCTGTAAATAATCAAGTCTGGACCAGACAATCCAGTGATTGACATCATCAGCATCGATCCATGCAGTTGGGATACGATGACATGCATCAACCAAATCAGCGAGCCTGACCACCCGACCCCGTTAGTCGCCTCTAACGACAAGCATAGTGGCCTTTTACGGCAAGCATGGGTTGCTGAAGACCTATTCTACCCGGATCTTCACGGGTCACAAACACGTTCGTATCTACATAACACACATAGCATCCACTCACACTCATACTGTATATATATATGTGTACCCATCTGTACCCTGCCCTGAAACACAAGCTGTTCCGTTGCTGATAATAACCTAGACAAGGGGAACTCCAGAGCGATGATGAGACATTTTGTAGACTTAACACCTTCATATCAACACCCCACAGAGGCATTAAGCGATATGACGCGGTTATCACCCCAGCTCTGAGATATGACAGTATTTAGTTTAAACAAAATTGACAAAATGCCATGTACGAAAATAAACGGGACGAGATTTTAGAGTTTTTTCCGACATATGTGCCACTGATAAGACTAACATGAATTCTCCCAACGTATTTGATTACATTTCTGTGATGTAAGTAAAGGGGGCGCATAAATAAGTGGGTATTTATTTAGGTTTGTGAGTGAGGAAACATTTTGCACAGCCTCGTACACACCTACAGGAAAACCATGCGATGCGAGGAGGCAAATGCCCTTATATGGGTATGGGTGTTGAGCTACAATTTCTGGGTAGTCACAGGTACGTTGCTCTCTATTTTCCATCCCTTATCGTGACTTGTATGAGGATAAGCTGGTGTCTCCACATTCTACTTCCTCATCCCAGTTTCCTCGTATAGTGAGAGATATGATTTACTTTGACTGAAGAGGAAACTAGTTGTGCGTCCCGAGGTCGAAGCTATCAATATTTGTGTGAGGATAAGAGCGTGTATCTTTCAAAAAATTATATAATGCACACGTGGGTTTTTAATAAGCTAATTTACTGCTTTCGTGTTTTTAAAAAGTGATTTCATTCAGTCCCATCCTGAGAATATAAATATTTTAGAATAATTGTGATTTCTCATATTGAACTCGCTTTTATTCAAATAGTCTACTCTGACAATATTACCATGTTGTAACCATAGGGACATTTGAAATTAGGTTGCGGTTTTAAAATTATGTGAATGTTTGTTAAACCTGAACATAGATAACGGATATTTGGTCGTATCACCAGTGAGTTAGTGATTTGGTTTTTAAAAATATTTCAGTTATATAACGGGGAGTCAGTTTGCTGTGGGAGGAACGTTTAACGTGGGTGGGTGAGTATGGTTTTACGCCGCTTTAAGCAATATTCCAGCAATATCACGGCGGGGGACACAAGAAATGGGCTTCACACATTGTACCCATGTCGGTAATCGAACCCGGGTTTTCGACGTGACGAGCGAACGCTTAAACCGCTAGGCTACCCGACCGCCCCCGAACGTTTAAAGGGTTAATTTGGTTGGTTGTTTAACGCCACACTCGGCAATATTCCAGCTATATGACGGCGGTCTGTAAATTATCGAGTCTGGACCAGACAATCCAGTGATTAATATTATGAGCATCGATCCACGCAATCAGGATCTATGACATGCATAAACCAAGTCAGCGAGCCTGACCACCGATCCCGTCAGTCGCACGGGTATGGTGCGAATGACTTTAGAACAGGAATTCGAACCCACGATAACAGGGCATTCTAAGGGACACAACTCTACATAGGAAAGTGTTGGGCCTTAGCCCACATGGCAGACCGTGATTTGTGAGAATACAGTTGCCAATTCGATAAATGATGTATAAACTTCTTCTTGAAAGTTATATGTTTTGTCACAATTCAACTAGGAAACGCTCGGTGTTGATTAAAATTAATTTTCAATTCATTTAAATTTTAAATGTGCAAGACCAGATTTCTGGGTTTTTCTTAATTTCATCTGAAATATGGCATATATTACCGGTCATGTGCAAAATCACCAGGCTCTCAGCAGAGTCGAAATACCAACTCGAAAGCCAGATTCAGACATTATGCATCATGAAATTAATAATAACCAGTGTCAACCGTAGTTTAAAATGTCACGAAAATATTAACAAAATGATTTCATGATTACCAATGATTAGACTGACATAAGTTGGCATCGATAGTCCCTCTTCACATACACGAATGACGCAACGTAAATAAGACAAAGAACCAGTTCAAACTGAACGTGTAGCACCAAGATTTAATGTTCCTGTGTATACACAAAATTTTGACGTCACAATTTGTGTTGCACGTGCTTTAACGGGTGTAATTGTATTTAGCATTGAAACAGACGTTTCATTCGAAAATATCCGTGGTAATAAACATTATTATTATGTCATACAAAAGCCGAGTTGATGTTTAAAGGAGATTAACATTAAACACCTGAATAAATATATATCCATCAAACAAGATCTCACAGACAGGTTTCTCAGTGATTTTTGTGCATTAAAAGAGAATGAAAATGAGAATAGAAGTTTAAATAAAGCAGGTCTCTTCAATTATCAGAGCATGGAAGACAACAATCAAGTACGCTACGGCTGTACGAGTCGTCTCCCCTGAGTCCACATCTCGCAGCCTCCCGTGTGACATCACGCGTAATCGGATTTCAAATACCGAAGTTGCGAGAAGCGCCGAATGCTCGTTTCGTTATTCAGCAGACGAAATTGTTATAGTGTCAAGCTTTGAGTGCGTGAGTGGGTTTAGTTTAACGCCGCTTTGAACACTATTTCAGTACTATGACGACGAGTTAGCTTGACCTGACAGGAAAGTGAAGTGAAGCGGGTCTCAGATGTTTACCACATTGGTGATTGGTTGGTTGGTTTGTTGTTTAACGCCGCACTCAGCAATATTCCAGCTTCAGTCGTGCCCCGCTTATAGGGACTTCAGATATCCGGAAACCTCAGTTCCCGGACGATTTTCATTCAAAACGAAATAATTACAATATAAATTTACCCGTATATACGGAAATTCAGTTTCCGGAACAGGACGGTCATTTTCATACACAATACACACAAAATTGTCTCACTTACCCGGACAATGCACTTCCGCTGGTGGTAATCCTTTGACTCGTGAGAAGTCAATCAACCAAGTGACACTGAGTTACGTTTGACATAAAGGGAAAGTTAACTATTGGAATGTTGCAAATCATGCCTCTTGTCTTGTGAAGATTTTTTTGTCACTATTAATCGTCATGCACTATTAATCGTCATGAGGCGAGTTTCGCAGTAAGGTTGGTTGGTTGGTTTGTTGTTTAACGCCGCACTCAGCAATATTCCAGCTATATGACGGCGGTCTGTAAATAATCGAGTCTGGACAAGACAATCCAATGATTAATATCATGAGCATCGATCCACGCAATTCGGATCGTTGACATGCATCAACCAAGTCAGCGAACCTGACCACCCAATCCCGTTAGTCGCATTTTACGACAAGCTTAGTCACCTTTTACGGTAAGCATGGGTTGCTGAAGACCTATTCTACCCGGGAATCTTCTCGGGTCTCCACATTGGTGAAGGCGACGAGGAAGGATGAGGTAGAGAAACAAATCAGGGCAAATCTGGGGTTCGAAACGACGGTTACACGTTTCGGGCACGGTCAAGCCACGGTCAGCGAATCTGACCACCCGATCCCGTTAGTCGCATTTTACGACAAGCTTAGTCACCTTTTACGGTGACACAATGAATTGCGGCGCCTTTAGAGTGAGTGAGTTAAAATTTAACGTCGCATCGGCATTATTCAAGCCATATAGCGACGGGTCCAAGTTAATATATTAACAATTCAGTCATTTATGCAAAGTTATATTTAAACACATGGTATGAAACATATTTTAGTATATTATATTTATAAACAATTGATGAAACATATTTGAGCATAACAATATCATTAATACAGTAACCAAAGCTAGGGCACCTCGCTGGGGATTATGGGGATTTACAGTAGCTCTGCTTCCTGCATGATACCCAGCAGGATTTACGTCATTACTTTAGCCACTGGTGTTTGAGCACAATGCTAGCCAATATTAAAAAATACTCGGAATTGAGTTGGCTTAAAAACACTAGTTACTTCCATTATGATAGGATTACGTGTCAGACAAGGGGACAATAATTTTACGATACTTTAACCCCCCTAGACAGAGCCTTCAATAATGTTAGTTTATAATAGCATCACACCAAATTTAAAAACAAGCATTTAATTATTCACATACATATTTAAGCCTTTAGAATTTGAAGCCAAGACTGTAACGCCACAATCGGCGATCTTCAAGCTGTGACAGAGGCCTGAAAGATATATGGATGTTTTTATGCCCTTGAAGAAGGCACCGAGCATCTGATTGAGAGTAATTATTTATAACATTGTTTACAAAATTGGTCATTTATAATGATAAAATAAAACTATGGAGAATAATATAATCTCACACTCGACTTTGATATTAAATATATGATCACTCGTACATGTACGTACACGTGCACGTTCCACAATTCACTCTTGTGGGATTCGCTATTTTTCTGGAAGTTAGGAAGTCGCCAAGGGAAAAGCTTCTACAAATTGGTGAGGTGAAGTGAAATGGGGTTTAACGTCCCGTCCAAGATTATTGCACTTATACAGCGACGTGCATGCACATGTGTGTGTGTGTGTGTATGTGTGTGTGGCTGCTTGTACTAGTCCGGACTGATGCCGATTTATAGTGCTAGCTCACTGAGATACCATGCCGCAGTTTAACATGAATACCTCACTCAGACACAGTATACTGACTCCGAGCCGACCAGTCCTTGTTTTAGCCCCTTAATGCCGAGCGCCAGACAGAGTAACAACAAGTACCATCTTTTAACGTCTTTTGGTATGACGCGGCCGGGGATCGAACTCCGGACCTTCCGCTTTCCGGGCGGACGCTCTACCTCTAGACCACGGAGGGGGTTCTACAAATTGGATAGAATGGTTACAATGCACCAATGCAAACTGGTTGATTGTGTGTAATATTACTCCGATGGCGTATCGATGCTTACGCTATCAACCACTGGTTTGTTTTGCGTGTTCACTTCATTTAGTTGAAATATTGCTCGTTAAACAGTATTCTCTCACTTTGGAACGGGCCATTTGATATCCTTGGAGGAAGTTTGGTGGCTTTTAAAAAGATAATTTATTTCAGAAAGAAATAAGTTGTTCTCAGCTTTTAACCGAAAAGATCAATTGTTCGATGGACATGTTGACTGCTGACTGTTGACTTTAAAACTGCCACCGACTGTGTTGCAAAACGAAGATATTTCTTTACTTTTATCAGTAACATTTCTGCGCTTGTAAACAAACACTACAGTGTTTTATTGTTATTTTTATTGTGTTGGAGGCGTTAGAAGGTTTAAAGTCACCTTAACATGTCCTGTCGAATACCAATTCACAGCGAGGTGAACAGAGGCATATATAATTAAAAGCGACCAATTTGGGGGTACGAAAAGGGTTCTCTTTGCCAACCCCAACCTCAATGGGTTTAGGGCATGTAAAAATACTAAGCCGCAATCGTGCGTGTCATATACCATTCATCTAGCCAGGCTTTCGCGACCAGGAAGATCGGGAGTAGAATAGGTCTTCAGCAACCCATGCTTGCCGTAAGAAGCGACCATGCTTGTCGTAAGAGGCGACTAACGGGATTGGGTGGTCAGGCTCGCTGACTTCGTTGATGCATGGATTGTCTGGTCCAGACTCGATTATTTACAGACCGCCGTCATATAGCTGGAATATTGCTGAGTGTGGCGTAAAACAACAAACCAACCAACCAGGCTTTCGCTCGTTAGATACGTTTTCATATAACTTGTTGTAAACTATATGTTACCTGTCATACACTCCTGTAGTAATCTTTATAAATGTTTCAGCATTTTGTGAAAGCCGTTGCCGCCAGTACCCAAACACCGAGAAACAACTTGAGTTTAAATGTAAGAAGAGGAGTTCCATGTTTTACGTCGATGTAAGGAGCTCTAACACGACCAATGGAAACTGTCGTGGTGTGGTCACGTGCTCCGGTCTGCAACAGGAAGTTCTGAGAACGGTTGCTGAATCTTGTTACTGGAATCCTATCTGCAGTTTCCCCCTCAACAAGGAGCAGCCAAATATACTCAACATCAATGGAAACTGTGCTAACGTCAGGCCACGTGTTATATCAGCTAGAGCCTTGTGTGTTAAAAGAAGTAAGTTGCAAAGAATAACGAAATCTCGTTTCATCTCGAAGCATTTCTCACTGAATCGAGTAATTCAGTATACAAGTATTAACTATTCGGGTTGTGTGTGTGTGTGTGTGTGGGGGGGGGGGGGGGGGGGGGGTCGGTGTGTGTGTGTGTGTGTGGGTCGGTGTGTGTGTGTGTGAGTCGGTGTGTGTGTGTAGGTCGGTGTGTGTGTGTGTATGTCTGTAAGGACAATCAACCAGAAAATATATGGTTGGTTCCTTAGCAACCTTCTTGACAGTAGAATTGTACTGCATCTTTGTAAAGGTAGTGGTAGCAGCAGCAGCAGTAGTAGCTGGTAGTAGAAGTAGTAGTAGTAGAAGTAGTGATGGTAGTAGTAGTAGTAGTAGTAGTAGCAGTGGTAGACGAAGTACTAGTAGAAGTAGTAATTGTTGTAGCAGTAGTGGCAGTAATAGTAGTAGTGGTAGTAGTAGAAGTAGTAGTAATGATAGTGGTAGTAGAAGTAGCAGTAGTAATAGTAGTAATGGTAGCAGTAGTAGTGGTAGTAATAATAGTAGTAGTAATAGTGGTGGTAGTAATAGTAGCAGTAGTAGAAGAACCAGTAGTAGTTGTAGTAGTAGCAGTATTAGTCGAGGCAGTAGTAGTAGCAGTAGTAGAAGAAGCAGTTGAGTAGTAATAGTAGAAGCAGTAGTAGTTGTAGTAGTAGTAGTAGAAGTAGTAGTAGTTGTAGTGAAGAAGTAGCATTGGTAGTTGTAGAAGTCACAAACATATAGGTAACAGTTAACAATAATAGAAACAGAAGTATACCAGGAGAATTCTAGGTATCAGTAATTCGTCTGAATACATGAAGCTCTTGAATATAACACACAATTTGTGATACGACTTTATGACAAAGCGATATTGATGGTCCACCCTAAACCAATTTAGAAAAAAGTGTACATTCACCTGGGCCGCATTCCACAAAGCGATCTTAGCGCTAAGTCTGTCGTAAGTCTATGTTAAAGTATGGGAGTTACGATCATCTTAGCGCTACGATTGCTTTGTGGAACGGGGCCCTGACCTTTTAACTTATTCTTTTGCAGATAAGATTTTGCTGTTTTCTCCGATCAGTTTGACGAAGAAGGATGGTGTCATAAAATCGCATGAGTATTTCCCATGGGATTACCCAGACACACAATCATATCACCAGATGGTATTTGTTGCAAAGCCACGTAAAAAACTTAGGATCACTTTTCTGGCTGCAGAAGTTGACACTACATCCGACATAATATTTTTCATGAATGGAACATCCCCGGTCAACGTCACCAGTAACGAAATAAACAACAATTTTGAGTTTCCCAGCGTCGACGTCACGTTAGTGTTCAGCGTTGGCTCTACATCAAGACTTGGGAAGGGCTTTCTCCTTTGTTTTGTATGTAAGTACCCAGCATGTCTGACATGTCAACAAGTGTGAGTGTGTGTTTGTTTATTTGTTGTTTGACGCCGCACTCAGCAATAATCCAGCTATATGACGGCGGTCTGTAAATAATCGAGTCTGGACCAGACAATCCAGTGATTGACAGCATGAGCATCGATCCACGCAATTGGGATACGATGACATGCATCAACCAAGTCAGCGAGCCTGACTACCCGATCCCGTTAGTCACCTTTTACGACAAGCATAGTCGCCTTTTATGGCAAGCATGGTTGTTGAAGACCTATTCCACCCCGGATCTTCATGGGTTTAAAGTGTGAGTGAGTAAGTGATTGAGTGTGCGTAAGTGAATGATTGGCAACATGAAAACATGGGAATTTGACCGAAAATGTCAACACATAACGTCAATGCCCGAAAATATTCAGTCTTGATCAGCTTCCAAAAGTAAAATAGGGAAATTATATGAATTAATGGATCACTAGTCCCACGAAGCTATGTAGAAAGTAAGTGAGTTAGTGAGGTCTTGACGCTGATTGACTCATTAGAAACCGGGGTAGAGTAGGTCTTCAGCAACCCATGCTTGCCCTAAAAGGCGACCATGCTTGTCGTAAGCATCTTCCCGAGGCACGGGAGTTAACTGACTACAAAAGTCCAGTTTCCCCCCTTGCCAAATTAGGCTGGTATTATGGAGTTACATTTTGGCTGGACTAACGAGTCTATGCATAGTCCAATCAAAATCGCGCAACGAAATCGAAATTGTAAATCGGTTCGTAACTGTTATGCAGATTTCGGTCGATTGCAGGATTTGCAAAGCATGTGCACCGCCAACTTGTAGTCAGCAGATATTTAACTAATCTTTTCATGTTACGGTGCTCTCGTGATTTGATGCACTTCGCGATGTAAGACCCGTTTTATCACAATATAGATCTTTATTATCGATCAAATCGTCTTGACTGGGCGCCGCCATTTTGTTTGAAACAAATGCAAGTGATACGTTAGGTGGAATTTGATTGGTACATAGGAGGGGCATATTAGGGACATAACTCGTAATAGCCACTGGTGGCGCTACGATCGAGCCCAGGAATCCCCGCCTAGTTCGGCAGGGGTGGAAACTGGACTTTTGTAGTCAGTTAACTCCCTTGCCTCGGGAAGATGTCGTAAGAGGTGGCTAACGGGGTGGGGTCGTCAGACTCGTTGAATTGGTTGATGCTTGTCATTGTATCCCAATTGCGCAGATCGATGCTCATAATGTCACCCACTGGATTGTCTGGTCCAGACTCGATTATTTACCAACTGCCGTCATATAGCTGGGAATACAGCGTTAAACAATCAAATAAAAGTACTGCAGCCGCAACCCCCTATGGAGATGTCCTTATATTCTTCATGCAGAGAAGTACCCTATAGGAGTAAAACATCTGATTGTATTGAGATTTGATAAAATATCAATTTGTGTACTAAGCACGTACCTTCTAATACCATAATGATTGTCATCAATTTCCTTTAATTTATTCGTTCTACTTTTGTTTAACATTAACAACTCAAGGATCAAACATTACATCTTGATATACCTTGACGTTTACCTGAAATTCCATTGCAGCTGACCTTGACACGTGTTCATAATGCTTTGTGTATCTTCAGGGTTGAAAAACACTTACTCGGACGCCAGCCGCCATGCCTGTGACCTTGTGAGAGGTGAACATATATCGATACATTATGTAGTAGTGTTCGGTAGTGAAGTTGTCATGATGGAGGGGACCGGACTATTTTCCACAGTCTGGTCACAATGTTCTGCCTTGTTCCAGAAATTGTAACTTGTTCCACGTGTAAACCTTAAGCACTGTCTCCGTGTAATAAGGGGAGACATAAACTGTTGAATTATACATCACGGCAATTCAGGACCATTTGGTTTGTTTTTTTAAAAACTCGATACTAAGTTGAAATTTCAAGATATTAAGTTGAAATTTCAAGATACTAAGTTGTAATTTCAAGATACAGAAGATGAAATTTCAAGATACAAAAGTTGAAATTTTATGATAATAAGCTAAAATAAGTTGAAATTACAAGATAGTATCTTGAAATTTCAACTTAATATCTTGAAATTTCAACTTCTGTATCTTGAAATTTCAAGATAGCATCGAAAAAAACCAAATGGCCCTGAAAGGCTTCCGTACATTAGAAAAGGACCCGAGTGCCGTTGTACAAAACAACCTTAGCGCTACGACTGTCGTAAGTCTATGTGAGTGAGTGAGTTAAAATTTAACGTCGCATCGGCATTGTTTCAGCCATATAGCGACGAGACCAAGTTAACATTTTCAAAATTTAGTTATTTATGCAAAGTTGTATTTAAAATCAATTTATGAAACATATTTCAGCATACGATATTTAAAAACAATTTATGAAACATTTTTGAGCATAACAAGATCAAGTATACAGTTTTAAAACACAAGCTATAGGCAACGAGTAACCCAAGCTAGGCACCTAGGAATTTATTCCATATTGGCTCTCAAAACTCACCGAATTTGCTCGAATGTTTGTAATATCAAAATTATCCAGGTTCAATTTATTTCCTAAAAATATAAGCTGTTTTTAACGTTGTACACCAACTCTTCAAAGTTAAAGAAAAACTTGATTTCTTGATCCGTGGGGCAATGGTCACTTAACGTGGTGACCATATAAATATACACAGTTTTGTTCTCCAGCATCAAAGGTTCAAAATAGAAAGCAAATGCCATCTAAAGAAAACAATATGTGAAAAACTTCCTCCAAGGTAACATCTATGTGGAACTCGGGATTGGAGATTTAGTCAAGAAGTGGGCATCTCCATTAACACCAATTTTGCTCCCCTCCTTACTGCGAGACCCGTGAAGATTCCGGGGTAGAATAGGTCTTCAGCAACCCATGCTTGCCGGAAAAGGTGACTATGCTTGTCGTAAAAGGCGACTAACGGGATCGGGTGGTCAGGCTCGCTGACTTGGTTGATACATGTCATCGATCCCAATTGCGTGTACCGATGCTCATGATATCAATCACTGAATTGTCTTGTCCAGACTCGATTATTTACAGACCGCCGTCATATAGCTGGAATATTGCTGAGTGCGGCGTTAAACAACAAACCAACCAACCAACCAAAGTTACTGCGAAACTCGCCTCATGACGATTAATAGTGCATGACGATTAATAGTGACAAAACATCTCCACAAGACAAGAGGTATGATTGCAACATTCCAATAGTCAACTGTCTCTTTATGTCGAGCAATATTTCAGCAGCTCCATCCTTTGGCGTCCACATTTCACAACTTTGGAAAATGCTCACTTATTTTTTCTACGAAGATTTTATAGAACGTCATACGACTTTGGTCATTTGTTTTGTTTGATAAAGGTTACAACATACAAGGCCATGTGTTTATTAGTAGATGTATGGAAACGGTTCCAAATTTGACGTAGACAAAATTATGTCCGGTGCAATTTACTATTTTGAGTTGTGCCTGCATTCACCCGTGAAGATCCGGGGTAGAATAGGTCTTCAGAAACCCACGCTTGCCGTAAAAAAAAGACTATGCTTGTCGTAAAAGGCGACTAACGGGATCGGGATTCGGTTATTTACAGAAAGCCGTCACAATATTGCTGAGTGCGGCGTTAAACAACAAACCAACCAACAACAAGTGAACACTTTGCATGGGGTGAGGCATGATACACTTTCCTGTTATCATCACTAAGTCATTCACAATCACGTGCCTGTAATAAATTTGGAATCTGCTTTTTGCAGACATTTCCTCTCGTTATTGAAAGGGCTTTAAATGGATTGAATAAAATAACAGGAAATAGTCACAACGTGGTTCATATATGACGCTTCTTTTAATATGACACTGACCGGTGTAGTAAATATTTTATGTCTGTTTCTCTTGTCGATTCCGGCATGATTCCTTTCAAACATAAACGTTATCCTTAATTGTACCCTCTTTTTGTACAACCGCATGATCCTATCAATTGCAAAGTAATAATTAAATTAGGAATGAACACCACGTGGGAAGGTTGACAACTAGACGCGGTAGACTGAGGTAACCAACATTTTAAGACCCGTGAAAATTCCGGGGTAGAATAGGTCTTCAGCAACCCATGCCTGCCGTAAAAAGTGACTATGCTTGTCGTAAAAGGCGACTAACGGGATCGGGTGGTCAGGCTCGCTGACTTGGTTGATACTTGTAATCGATCCCAAGTGCGTGGATCGATGCTCATGATATCAATCACTGGATTGTCTGGTCCAGACTCGATTATTTACAGACCGCCGTCATATAGCTGTAATATTGCTGAGTTCGGCGTTAAACAACAAACCAACCAACCAACATTTTAAACATATGATCACAATGTGCAGTGACCTCACACAGAGTCAACACGTGACATACGAGCAATCACGTGACATACGAGCAATCATCTAGGACTCGGCAGATTATGTGACCGATGCAGATTATTATCATCTATTGTCGGAAAACATTGGTTGTTGAAGACCAAGTCTAACCCGGATCTTCACGAGTCTCCTGCAAGTAACGGCGAATTAACAACTTCGGGTTTCCGAGGGCGTATTTAGATTGGTAACCAGTTACCGGCGTTTATCGTAAGATTCTGAAGAAGGATTGGTGATCTTGTTGAGTGACTTGGTTAATAACGTGTCAATGGTTTGTCTGGCCAATAATCGCTTGTTCACATACCAGCGTTATATAGCTGGACTACTGTTTACTACGGTGTACACAGCACTCAGGCACTCCGTGAATAACCATGACAGAGTCTGTGAAGGTATACTGTAGGTCTGGGTTTAGTGAGTGAGTGAGTGAGTGAGTGAGTGTGGTTTTACGCCGCTTTTAGCAATATTCGTGCAATATCACGGCGGGGGACACCAGAAATGGGCTTCACACACTGTACCCATGTCGGGAGTCGAACCCGGGTCCTCAGCGTGACGAGCGAACGCTTTAACCAGTAGGCTACCCGACCGCCCCTGTGGGTTTAGTAGAATATCATATTGCTTGAAACCATCAAGGTCTCATGAAGATGCCGAGTTAGAATTTGTTTTGAGCAACCTATGCTTGTCGTAAGAGGCGACTAACGGGATCAGGTGGTGAGACTTGCTGACTTGGTTGATGCAGGTCATCGTGTCCCAATTGCGTAGATCGATGCTCATTATGTCAATCACTGGATTGTCTGGTCCAGACTCGATTATTTACAGACCGCCGTCGTATAGCTGGAATAGTGCCTAGTGCGACGTTAAACAACAAACAAAGAAACCATCAAGATTATCGTTGTCCATGGCATCCTTGACCAACAACACTGCTGACAACATACTTAGACATATTTTGCATTTGCGTTACTGTTCGTTATATAGATTTCATTATTCCATTCCAGGTGTCAAATGTCTGTCCGGAAGGGTCAAGGCGCGGTCACGGGGATGACCTTGAATCCAGACACCATGGCATTGCTACAGTGACATCTTGCACCGAACAGGCATAGGAGGAACTCGGTTTGGTGAAAGACTCTCTCAACGGCGTTGGTCTCCTGGCCAAGGAGAAACTTCATATAATGTAATCTGTGATTTTTATGGGGACTCCAGGAGAAATTGTTAAAGAATAAAATATGAACACCCGGTATGTTTTAGTGCACTTCAACGGCGCTTGTAACTTCTTCTTTTTTAAAAAGTGGTATCCTACCCCCCAAAATGCCTTGCAATACCACGTGAATTGGGCTGTGCAGAATGTGCTTGTCGGCAATATTACAATTATTGGATGGCGGCCTGGAAATGGTCGGTATGAATCAGACAGACCAGTGATTGATATAATGAATGACGATCTACGTGGTCGGGTTGCCTGGATACTTAATTTGACAAATCACAGAACAAGTCACAGAACTTGACACCACGATGCATTAAATCGTCCTTTGGTGACAAGCATAGATTCCTGGGAACTACTTCACCATATACCTGGCGTCATCACCAGTATTTTCAGTTATCCTTTTAGTTATCCTTTTACATAAGACACGTGAAGATCCGGGGAAGAGTAGGTCTTCAGCAACGCATGCTTACCGTAAAAGGCAACTGTGCTTGTCGTAAGAGGCAACTAATGGGATCGGTGGTCAGGCAAGCTGACTTGGTTGATGCATGTTATCGTGTCCAAATTGCGTGGATCTATGTTCATGATGTCAATCACTGGATTGTTACTTACAGACCACCGTCATATAGCTGGAATATTGCTGAGTGCGGCATTGCACAACAAATCCTTTTACATATAATTTCTCTCTCGCCTTTTACTCCTAATGGAATCTGTTTCGAAAGACAATCGAGACGTTTTGAATTTACTCCTCTGAAAGCACGAACTCACTCATTTCACGGAGGGGAAACAACACGAATGGGCTTCGCACAAGCGCCCGTTTGGGGAATCAAGACTTTCAGCGTGACGGGCGAACGTATTGACCATAAGGGTTACCCTAACGCCGTTCGACATTTGTCCAAACATACAATAATGCTCATGAAGACATTTACCCACACAAACATTTGACCGCACGTACAGACATTTATCCACACACTTTTTACACAGGCATATGCCCACACAAACATTAATTTGTCAACACAGACATTTAGCCACTAACTATTTACACACATAGGCATATGCCCACACAAACATTAATTTGTCAACACAGACATTTAGCCACTATTTACACACACAGGCATATGCCCACACAAACATAAATTTGTCAACACAGACATTTAGCCAATAACTTTTTACACACACAGGCATATGCCCACACAAACATAAATTTGTCAACACAGACATTTAGCCACTAACTATTTACACACACAGGCATATGCCCACACAAACATTAATTTGTCAACACAGACATTTAGCCACTAACTATTTACACACACAGGCATATGCCCACACAAACATAGATTTGTCAACACAGACATTTAGCCACTATTTACACACACAGGCACATGCCCACACAAACATTAATTTGTCAACACAGACATTTAGCCAATAACTATTTACACACACAGAGGCATATGCCCACACAAACATAAATTTGTCAACAAAGACATTTAGCCAATAACTATTTACACACACAGGCATATGCCCACACAAACATTAATTTGTCAACACAGACATTTAGCCACTAACTATTTACACACACAGGCATATGCCCACACAAACATAGATTTGTCAACACAGACATTTAGCCACTATTTACACACACAGGCACATGCCTACACAAACATTAATTTGTCAACACAGACATTTAGCCACTAACTATTTACACACACAGGCATATGCCCACACAAACATTAATTTGTCAACACAGACATTTAGCCACTATTTACACACACAGGCATATGCCCACACAAACATAAATTTGTCAACACAGACATTTAGCCAATAACTATTTACACACACAGGTATATGCCCACACAAACATTAATTTGTCAACACAGACATTTAGCCACTATTTACACACACAGGCATATGCCCACACAAACATTAATTTGTCAACACAGACATTTAGCCACTAACTATTTACACACACAGGCATATGCCCACACAAACATTAATTTGTCCACACATACGCTTTATAAAAACAGGCATTTACGTTTACAGACACTAGCCCACCTAAGACGCACTGTGCGAACACCTGATTTTCTCCAGTCGACTCTTGCTAAAAGTAAGTGAGTGAGTAAAATATTTCACATGGGCAATTTCTCGACCATATCGTAACTAGACCAAGTTATAAGGTAGTGACATATATAAATCTGTCGACGATGGACCTTAAAAAAGCTAGATTATCACATGAACACACAATGCCATTTAGAAAGTAGTCAAATGTAACAAATGTTATATTTGGTATAACACTTTCTGAGTAGAGTACAGATTCTCGTACATTTGGGGTTGAATCCCGTCGGGGCGATCTAACCCACTCAGCCACCGAGGCTTCCACAAAAATGGAAGTCCGACAGCTGCTAGTCCAGATCACGTACCCCTCTGACATGTGTAAATTGACACGGCTCCGATAGCCGAAAGTACTGAGGGGTACACAATTGTTTAATACTATACGTTTCGGTATAGACCCTTATACCGTTGTCAAGCAAGACCGAATGAGGAACATTATACAGAATACATATAGTAGGTGGATGATTGACAGTAGAGGATTTACAGTAACAACAGTTGCATACATGAATGAGATAACATGAGTAGGTAATGACAACAGAAGGATAATACTGTCACAGCATGCTGGACAGAAAACACATAGGTGGAAGCCTATGTTTGTTTGTTTGTTGTTTGTCCCACGCAATTGGGATCGATGACATGCATCAACCAAGTCTGCGAGCCTGAGCACCCGATCCCGTTTGTCGCCTTTTACGACAAGCATAGTCGCCTTTTACGGCAAGCATGGGTTGCTGAAGACCTATTCTACCCCGGATCTTAAACATTTAATATTGGAAAAGGCTCAGGATAGATGTAATGGACATATGCCATAACACTGTATCATGCATAAACCGGAACCTATTGCAATACTTTCTTTCTTTTTGACAATAAATCACAACAAATTCATACAAGACTGACTGTTTATGCTCTTATTTCTACGCCATCATCACTGTACGTGTGATGGTTAACCGATCAGTATTGACTGACAATTATATCAGCCTATCAGAAATGTGCGACAAGTGAAAACTTACCTCAATATTTATGAATGAGTCAGTTTGACATCGACCATGGGACCTCTTGACAACACTGCAACTCCTTTGATAAACAAACACTTGCTATTCATGCCGAGTGTTTTAATGCCTGTGACAATGTCATGTTTTTCTAAGTTACACCAGCGTGTTCCGAATATGATTCTCCGGGCCCTGACCGACGAAACACTGCTGTCGCAATTGCCACGAGAGGTTGTTTGTCACCGGAAGTACTAAACTACGTAAAGTCTCGCCTAGTCCCATGACTTACTTACGGGCCTATGCCTGGTGATAATATAATGCATTAGTTTCTGATTTCTGTTGCTTGGTCCAGGTCAGGGCTTTCCGTGGCTCTGCCAATTGAAAAGGAGGAGAAGGCGGAAGGCGGAACGGAGAAGGCGGAAAGGAGAAGACGAAAGGCGGAAAGGAGATGACGGAAGGATATATAGAGGATATTTAATGTGTTTTCTCAAATACTACTTTTATCTCATCGAGTGAAGTGGGAGAGTCTAATATTTTCACTCTCCTCAATTCACGAGATGAGATAAAAGTGTTATTTGAAAAAACACATTGAATTTTCTATTTATTATATACATGTTTTATTTTCATTACTTGCAATTTATATATTTTTTCGAAAACAGTGTCTGATAAATTACTAGGATCTCCCTGTCGCCCCTTTACCACCGCCGTATAATGGGTTTTGCGCAAAGAATATAGTTCGTGAATAAAACTAGCCCTGTTAATATATGTTATGCGAAAAGTATTATTTCATATCGAGTATTAAGTTCCGTGGACATTTTTGTTTGTCATAATTAAACATTCCTGTTTAAAATAGTTAACTCTTTAATGTTTTGATTCAGGAGAAAGTAGTTCCGGCACCTTGATCTATCGTCACTGATAAATTCCAGTATTTCATTCATATGTATAATTTTATAATAAATTGATATATTGTGAAGTTCAATGTTAGTAATATAAGGTTTAATTCCTATTCAAAGAGGTGGAATAATAGATGACTTGTTATTTTAATGGTCATCAGGTGGGAGGTTGTTCCCGAAGGTAAAGTCAGCCGACTTTAAAAATCTGGTTACTGATGGTATTGTACACAAAGCTCATAGATGCATGTAGTACTAGGTGGCTTAACTCATGGTCATGTTTTCGTTTAACGCCGCACTCAACAATATTCCAGCTATATGACGGCGGTCTGTAAAAAATCTAGTCTGGACCAGACAATCCAGTGATTGACAGCATAAGCATCGGTCCACGCAACTGGGATACGATGACATGCATCAACCAAGTCAGCGAGCCTGACCACCCGATAGTTAGTCGCCTCATACGACAAGCCTATGTAGGCATAGAAGGTAACTCAAAAGCCGATGCTGCAGCTAACGCAGTTCTTGACAAACCGCTTTCTCAACTACTGATCCGGTACAGTGATTTCAGACCAACCATCAAGAGTTATACTCGGGATCTCGAGGTGGGGCACCTAGATAGGAAGCAATAAACTTCACGAAATGAAACCAACACTCGGTCATACCTACTTGGGTTGTCAGTAAAGACATGACGAGGTCGTTTTACGATGGTGTCGTATTGGCCTCACTCGGTTTACCCACGAATATCTGCTGAAGACAGATGAGGACGAGCCTCCTAAGTGTATCCCTTGTGATGCAAGGTTCACCGTCAAGCATATATTGCTTGACTGTGTGGACTTTGCAATCGCAAGGGATTCACATTATCAAAGCGTAAATCTGAAAGATCTCTTTTCCCGCCAGTGGACATCTTATTTATCAGCTATTGGAAAGACATTGGTCTTTTTAATACATTTTAGATATGTATGTGAATAATAAAATGCTTGTTTTTCAAATTTGGTGTGATGCTATTATCAACTGACATTATTGAAGGCTCTGTCCAGGGGGTTAAAGTATCGT